TTCCAACTGCTGACCTTGAGGTTAGCAGCCCAACTCATAACCACTGTGTTACCAGAGCTCCTTAAACAATATTATGCAAATTGATGAGATGTTCCAAGAGACTATGGTTCTAACCCTTCTAATCCAGGAAACCCATTTTAAGAGGTTATGTCTAGGAAGTAACCAGAATTTATGTGCTTTATTATATATATATGTAAATATATGTGCACATAGTTGCAGTCATATATCTATACATACATACACATATGCATATGCTGTGTTTTAATGTGCGGAATGCAAAGTTGGCTTGAACCACAAGGTTGACACTTCAAGCTCAGTAGCCACTGCTCAGAAACCCTATACAGGGTTGCTGTAGGTTGGAACCAACTTGATAGCACTTAACAATAGCAACAACATATATACAAACTTATGTACTCATATATACATACTCATACATATGTCTGCATGCATGCATATAAACCTGCACATATATTTTTGGTAGTTTTGGCTGTTCTATCAAAATTATATACACTATATTAATTACTAAAGGGTTCTTTTTCTTATGCACATTTTAGTGACTATTGATGCTTCATCAAACTGTATACATTTTGCCTTCATTTAGTGTTACCTTTCCCATCAATAAAAATAACGAGTGTCTATTATCTAGAATGTGAATCACCCTTCTCCACCCTCATCCCTGATAATGCTCAGCCACCGATGACATTTGATTTTATATATTTGCTTGTTCATGGTGCTGTAGAACAAGGTTGGTTTGCAAGGTCGGTGGTTCAAATCCACTAGCTGCTTCTCAGAAACTTAATACAGGGGCACTAGAGTCAGAACGGACTTGTTGGCACTTAACAACAGTATCATTTCATAAAAGTGAATTTTTTTTCATTGGGTATTTTTGCTCAACATGATGCCCTCCAGTTCTTTCATGTTCTATGATGCTCTAGGAGTCATTATTTTTTTTTATTGCTGAGTAATATTCTATTGTATGTGTATATGACATTTTATTTTTCCATCTGTTTGTTGATGGATACTTTGGTTATTTCGATCTTTTTACTACTGCGAATAGTGCTGTGATGAACACAGGTGTACTTATGTCTCTTTGTGTCACCTTTAGTATTTATCTAGGGTATATAATTAGAGTGGAATTGCTGGGCCACATGACAGCTTTACATGTAGTTTTTTGAGGAACAACCAGATTGTTTTCTACAATGACTCCACAATTTTGCATACTACCAGCAATGGATGAGGGTTCCAATTTCTCTACATCCCCTTCAACATCTGTTATTTTTAGTTTATCTCAGCCATTCTTGTTTGTTATTTATGTTTTGTTTGGTAGGAGCTGTCAAGTTGACTCCTACTCATAGCAACCCTATGCACAACAGAAGGAAATGCTGTCTGGTCCTGTGCCATCCTCACAATCGTTGTTATGTTTGAGCCCATTGTTACAGTTTTGTTTTGTTTTTTTACCCTGTTTTGTTCTGACCCTGTGTTGTTTTCTTTTTTTAAACCAAACATAATGTCCTTTTCTAGGGATTGTTCTTCCTGATAACATGTCTAAAGTACGAGGGATGAAGTCTCATCATCCTCACTTGTAAGGGACATTCTAGCTGTACTTTCAATAAAGATTTGTTTGTGTTTCTGAGCATAAGCATTTAACATTTATGAAGTTTCACTTATCTATTTTGTTTTCTGTTGCTCATGCTTTCATTTTTGTGTTTAATAATCTAGAAGTTTTTTAAAAAAATAGGGCCCAAAGTTTTATTCCTATAGTTTCTTTTAAAAAAAACAACAACAACTGTATGGTTTTAGATTTAACATTTAGGTACTGCATCCAGTTGAGTAGAGTCCTGGTGTGGTGCTATAGGATAAGTACTGGACTGCTAACTACAAGGTCAGTGGTTCAAACCTACCAGTTATTCCTTGGAAAATCTATATCAGTTGCTATGAGTTAGAACTGAGTCAACAGCACGTAGCAACAACAATCCATTTGAGTTCCTTTTTGTGTATGGTTTGAGGTATGGATCTAGAAATATTTTTGCATGTGAAAATCTGTTTTTGCCAACACTATTTGTTGAATAGTCACAGGAGTCCTTTCTTAGTGAATGGATTTGGTACTCTTATTGAAAATCATTTGACCAGAGAACTCTGCTTATATTTGAAGTTTGTTTTTTGTGACTACCTGTGCAACTCAGATGCATTACTTCTCAGTCCTAGTTTGTTCTCTTCTTTTAATAAGGGACAGTACCATTTAGGATGAGTATAAGGATTGAAAAATATTAGAATGATAGTGAATGTTTCAGGCAGTGCTAAGCACAAAATATTGTGAACTTCAGTATTGACAATGCTGCTACTACATTCAGGTGAATTGTATTTAAGATTACATGGATTATCCATGAATCTAGTGTCATTTTGAGAGGCTTTGGAGATATTCCATACTTTACTGTCATATGACTTGGGTGTATTATTTAACCTCTGTGTTGAATTTTTTTATCATCTTAAAATTTACATAATAATTTAAATTGCTTCATGGCTTTGTAATGAGGATTGAATGAGAATTGGATAAAAAATATTCATCCCAGAGCCCAGCATACACTAAGAACTTAATACATGTTGATTATTATTGAATTATTCTTCAGCTATAGAAGGAAAATTCCCTGCTGTTATAATGACAGAGATTACCCAAGATAATGAAGAAAATGTAACCCCAAAAAATGAATGTCTGTTCTTTTCAGAACATTTGTTTCCATTTGCAGTTTTTCTACATGGTTCTTATTTTAAAATCAGTATAGTATACATGTGAAGGAAATAGCCAGTTGCTTGCTGAATTTTGTCATTTTTGATGCTATACTGGAGTGCCTAGAGCTGCCTATTATTTCAAGCCATAGAATTGAAGGAGAAGACTGTGGAGGAAATTTATCTAATATCTTTAAGTCTATAATATTTCTCTGGTAACATAGTGGCTACGAATAGGGCTACGAACCACAAGGTCAGCAGTTCGAAACTACCAGCTGTTTCACGGGAGAAAGATGAGGCTTTCTGCTCCCATAAAGATTTACAGCCTCGGAAAGCCTGTACAGGGTCGCGATGAGTTGGAACCGACTCCACGGCACATAACAACAACAGCAACAACATAATATTTCTACCTGGAACATTAAGAGTTAAGTGTTACGGTCCAATGGGCAGAATTTTCCCCAAAACAAAGTTCAGAAGGCAGAAAGTGGAATAAATGAACATAGGGAGCCCAGGGAGGAAGTAGGAAAACCAATATTAAATTGAAGAAAATGCTACTAATGCTGTGAAACAAAATGTGTATAAATTGTTGAATGGAAAGCAATTTGGCTGTATAAACTTTGACCCAAACAACAATACACTGTTGTTGTTGTTGTTAGGTGCCACTGAGTTAGCTTTCTGCTCACAGTAGAATAAACATTGCCCTGTGCTGTGCTACCCTCACAGTATTCGCTATGTTTAAGCCCATCTTGCTGTCATTGTGTCAACCAATCTCACTGAGAGTCTTCCTCCTTTTCATTGACTCTCCACTTTACCACGCATAGTGTTCTTCTTTTGGGACTGGTCCCTCCTGACAACATGTCTGAAGTACTAGAGATGGAAGTCTTACCATCCCTACATTTAAGGAACATTCTGACTATACTTCTTCCAAGACAGATTTGTTTGTTTTTCTGACAGCCCCAGGTACGTTCATAGTCTTCTCCATCATTATAATTCAAATATATTGATTCTTCCACAGTCTTGGTTTTCTTTATTTGTTGTCCAACTTAAACCTGCATATAAGGTGATTAAAGATACTGTGACTTGGGGCAGTCACACCCTAGTCCTCCAAGTGACATCTTTCTCGTTAACAAATTTAATGATGTGTTTCGCAGCAAATTTGCCAAATTCAATGCATTCGATGATCTCTTAACTGCTGCTTCCATGAGTGTTGATTGTGGATCCAAGCAAAATGAAGTCTTTCACAACTTCATTCTTTTCTTCATTTATGATGATGTTACTTATTGGTCCAGTTGTAAGGATTTTCAATTGCTTTGCATTGATCTTTTAATTGATAACTTAACAACTAAAAATCATTAATGCTCAATTGGGGCAATTCCAACAACCAATGCAGAGTAGCTTTGGAAGTACTTTCAACACTGCGAAAGCCAGCATTTCTTCAAATGAGGCTACAGGCATATGAAAGTGTGAAGAAGATGATGGCTTTAGTTCTGGACTTTACTTCATCAGCATTTCTTACAAAAAAGTAATTGATGTTTAGGAACTGCTGGCAGATGGAGACTACCCTGTCTAATATTGCTGCCTAGTTTAGGCTCTAAGGACTTGCCTTTTCTGGACACCTCAGAGACATTTGCGTGTGGGGAAGTTTTTTCACCAACTCCAAACATTTAAACTGCCCTTGACAGTAGGCCTTTTTTTTTTTTTTTTTTTCCAAAAATATTTTCATATTTATAACTGTCTTCCCTCTAATGGCTCATTTGACAAAAGAAAGCTAAGGCTTTTTCTTCTCACTAAGATTTACACTCTCAGACACCCTATACAAGTCGCTATGAGTCGGAATATACTAGACAGCACTTAAAACAAGAACAATGGCTCATTTGAAAGCATGTTTTAATTCCATTTTCTTTTGTCATTCTATAGCATTTCACTCCATAAATAGCTCTGTCTAAAAATCTGTAAGACAGGAGGGCATCTTTATGAAAGATCTGTGAACACAGACTGCAAACTTCAGTATGCTTAGCTTGTTGTAGTGCTGAGGACAAAGAAAGACTGAGACATTTCAGATGTTTATTGTTCTCATTCAATTTGCTTCAGTTGACCAGAGCCTTGCTGTGAGGAGACAAGACACAAATCAGCTCCTGGCAGGTGTAGCAGCAGTTCATTGCCTCTCCAGTCTCCCACTCCCGCCCAGGTTTGAAGTCCTTGGGCTCAGAGTGATAGAGGATTCTGTCAGTCTGATGTTGCATCTGATCTGTCAATAATGCCTTTATCACCTGCAGAGGAAATCAGACATTGCCAAAGCTCTGAGAACCTCCAGTCAGAAGATGAATGGAAAGTGTATGTATTGACGGGAAGTACAGGGACTCAAGCCAAAGTCACACTCTGGGTGTATGGAGATGAAGGAGCCACTGGACCAATAGGTCTCAGCAAAGACAACCCACATCAGCTCTTCCTGCCAAGTCAGGAGGATGAATTTCAGGTAACTAGAATCAGCAGCAATATTGCTCTTTGAATACTTCAGTTATTTCTATAATATAGAAGAGTATGTTTTTGTGTGCGAGTGTGTATATGTATGTGTGTTGTGTGAATTTGTGACGTATATCTGAGAAACTTCTAGTCAACTAGAATTTCCATAAATTATCTTAATGTCAATCATAATCAAAAAGGGAAATACTTTTCCTCACGTATTTTATACAAGCAAGGGAAGTTATAGAAGCAATATGCTTTCTTTAAAGATACTGTTTTAGTCTACTGGTTTGAAGCTGACCCCATAAACCATCCACCTTACTGTAAATTACATCAGATTTTACACCGTTTAGAGATTCTTCTAGTGATGAAAGTCCTTCTTCTGTTTACATGCATATTCTTGTAGCTATATGGATGTGAAAATGGTTTTTGGCATATTGGTAGGACATGTTGGAGGCTCTGCTCATGTCACATTACTTTTTCTTTCTGTACTTTTTAGTATGAGTGAGGTTTGGGCAGCTTTACTTTGAGTACTGCTAATTGGCTCTCCTGGTTCCTCAGGACTTTGGACAATTTTCAGTTAGGAATTCCACTCTAACCCCCACACTTCTAAAGCTATATGGCTCTTTGGTGCACCATTAAACAACAGTTATTCTCCCTGAAGAGTTATTTCTTTTGTATCATTAGACTAGATAGCAAGTAAGGAATCATTGAGGCCACCTTGAGTCATAAGAAAACCTTGGCAATATTTTGGGCTGTGGTATCTTGCAATCATAACTAATCTAAAATCCAGGTAGTTTTAGAATTTAGACTCGAGCCTGTCAGGCTTCCTATGAAACCGTTAAGTTGCACTGTAGGAAAGCAGTTATCTGTACTTTCAAGGGGCGCTTTGGTTGAATGCACAGGCAGGCAAACCTTATATAATATACACATTTCCAATGATTATTGGAAAGTGGTTATTTAGAACTCAGAATTGATCCTTTCCAATAGTATGAAGTGTTATGGTTAGATTCCCAGGCTACCCATCAAAAAAAGTTTGTTTTACCCATAATATACACCTTGTGGAATATATATTTATATGCTAGTGAATCTATCCATATTTTTCTGAAAAAAATTTACTCAGGGTACAATTTCGGAACTCATGATACAGATTCCAAATCTTGACTGTACAATGGAATTACCTGGGGAGTTTTAAAAAACCCTGATGCCTGTTCCCATCTCCAGAGATTCTATTTTAATTAATCTGTAGTGCATCTTGGGCAGTGAAGTTTTTTGGAAACTCCCTAAATGATTCTAAAGTTTAGCCAAGGTTGAGTCACAGATACAGCACTAGACAAATCTAGTGGGCTGTTTTGGTGACCTGAATTCCCATATATTAGATCTGTGACCTTAATTTCTACAGGGTAACATTATCTTTATATGTAGACTAGAGACAATAATACCTACTTTTTCTAAATTTCAGGGTGAACTGGAAAAGAGAAAAAAAAAATTTTAAGGGGTCTTTAAAAAGTTTGTGGAAGATTGGAAAGAAAAAGAATGGGATTTTTCTGTTCACTTTTTGAACCCCATCATGTGTGTGTATGTATATATAATGTATTGAGTTATAGGAAGTATGCATAAGAATAGGAGTTTGAGTCATGGAGACCAGGCTCAAATCCAGGTCTACCACTTTCTAGTTCTCTTAACTGAACAAGCTATGTATCCTCACAAATCCTGTGTTTTTTTTCTTAGTGAAAAGGAGGTAATAGCATACACAGCAGATCTCAGCCCTATTGGCTCTGTTCTCTGGAAATTATAGGCAGGCAGACATGGAACCTATAATAACCCAACATTTCAGTTATCCCTTTATTGTTTTTTCCTTAGAATGTGTGGATGGAAGAATCTTACACTCTTGGGATAACAAAAAGGATATCCAAAGGCTTATATTTCATGTCACAGACTGTAGTCTATTACCGATTCCACCGGTGGGAATAAGCAAGCATCTGGGTCTGCACTGAGCCCAGCTATAAGAATAAGTATGTGAAGGAAGGTTGAGTGTGGGCGATCCCTTTTCTTTTAGGTCAATGCCAGCATGATCCCTGTTGACCCTTCACAGTCTATAGAGAAAATTATTGGTGGTGGGTACTTAAAGAGGATTTCTAAGTATGGAAGTAGATATGAAAGAACAGTCCTTATAAATCATGGCTCACCCAACCATCCTAGCTCTTTCCAAGTCTAGTAATATGTAGACAATAATGCAAGTCAAATCTAATGTGCAAGTGCCTATTTGCATCTCTGTTCTTTGGAGGTCGATGGGTACCCATAGGAGAAATTATTATAGGAGCTATTTTTTAAGTCATTAAATGTTATGTAACATTATTTAATCCTTAATGTCCTAGGCATGGAATCCTGGTGTGGTGCTGTAGGCTAATGTTCTAGACTTCAAAGTCGGTTTGATCCGCAATGTCAACGTATCTTTGCATACTGAAAAATTCTACTTGTATTTCTGTGACTAGACTACACATTTCTCAAAGTTAGGGACTGTGATATTATTTCATCTTTGCATACCTAATGCTTTTCTTAATACTCAAATTATTGTGTTTAACATGTAATTTATTCAACCGGGAATGTTCTTCCACAGAATAAGAAATTAAGAACCAAATCTTGTTTGATTCAGTTTACAACAGGCAGAATTCCAATTTAGGCCAAAGTGACTCTAAGCTTATTTTTCCACAATGCTACCTGAGTCAATAAATACTCTTGGGCTGTGTCAAAAAATAAAGTTGGGCAGGTTTGTTTCTCTTCCTTGCAATTTGAACATCTTTATCTTACCCTTGTCATCAAAGCAGAAAGAATTTTTCATAGTAGAAGAAAGCTCTAGACGCATATGTACTTTCCCTTAAGTTCATAGAAATAGCTGTACTCAGGCTTTCTTTGATAAAAACTGTTTGTTTTATCTTCTTAAAAGAAGAATCCTTCGCTTTGTTATTGAGACACAGCTTCAGAAGGTCTGGCTTTCAGCGAGAAATGAGTTGTCATCCAAGAACTGAACATATCTATGATTCCAACTCTCTTATTTTCTTTGATTCTGCTACACATTTTTAGTTAAGAAATAGATTACTTTTGCTCTTTGTTCTGAGATCATGAGGTTCACTGATAGTTTCTTGAGAGGAATTAATCTTTAGACTTTGAAAAGGTCTCTGAGAGTTTTTTAACTATTAGGGACAAATATATTTAATATGAGGCACTCACTCATCTCTGCCAAGAAATTTGGAAGACAACTATCTGGCCGACTGATTGGAAGAGATAAATATTATGCCCATTCCAAAGAGAAGTGACCCAACAGAATGCGGAAATCATCGGACAATCTCTTTACTATCTCAAGCGAGTAAAGTTTTGCTAAAGGTAATACAGAAACGGCTACAATCATACATTGACCGAGAACTTCCAGAGGTTCAAGCTGGATTCAGAAAAGGCCGTGGAATGAGAGATATCATTGCTGATGTCTGATGGATCTTGGCTGAAAGCAGAGAATACCAGAAGGATGTTTACCT